GGTACACCACCGGGCAGGCTACTGCAAGTCAGAGGGCAAGCGGCCTCAGCCATCGCAGGCACGAAAAGGGGACGGCGTCTTACTTCGATGCTGGAGCTGACCATGGGCCCCAAGGTCCCAGGGCTGGAGCCCCCGAGTCAATTCATTTGGGAGAGGCGAACGGTGTGGTTCCAGAGGCTTGAGGTGCATGATCCAGTCAGCAGAGCATGGGATGCAGCACTATAGCAGGTGGTGGTTCGAGACAAAGTCCGGTGGCGCAGGGCACGAGGACCAGTCGCAGCAGTTATAGCCACTCTCATCGAAGGTGGGCGGTCATGCCCGATACCGACCAGACTCGCAGCATGGGACACGGCAGAGTTGATTGGATCCCCCCCAGCATGGCACGGTGGAGTTCGAGCAGGTTGACATCACACACTTGGTGGACGAGTTCGTGTCGGATTTGAGGGCAGGCCGATGGAAGAATGCCTCCAAAGTCGAGGGCGCAGATGACCTGATGCACGGTGCAGACTGCAGTTAGCTATCCAGAGAGCTCCACAAGCACGAGCGCAAGGATGACCTGGAGAATTGGGGCCTCGCCCTCAGTGTCACGACTGGAGGCCAAGTGGCACGCGAGCGTCAGCGAGCGCAAGGCTACGCGACGCAGCTTCAGCGCAGGCGCTACCAACCGGCGCCTGAGACACCACGTCGCAGAATTTGGGAGTGCCCCGCGAACCGCGGGCACGAGGACTACGATAAAAGTGATGCCCCCATTCCGCGCGCCCTCGCCACTTGTCTGCTCGAGCCCAGCCTCTGGCTCAGAGGGGCCCCCCAGAAAAGCAAACGGTGCCGGCGTTCGATGGGGGGGCGCGTCTTTCTCATGGTTTGGTTCTCATGGCGGGCCCCAGACCTGGCTCAGGAGATTTAGCTGTTTTCGGCGACGGTTCAGGGGAGCTATTTTCGAGCGGCCTCCGTCGACGTAGAGCAGGAGCTGGAGTAGCCATCCATGGGCCAATTGAGGGCCATCCGTTCCAGTGGCCCATGGTCTGGGGCGCCTCTCCACCGTTGGTCGGGGGTAGACAAACTGTTACCAGGGCCGAGCTCCTTGCGTTTTGCATGGCGCTCGAGTTGACGTCGGGGCCTCTCCGGCACATCGCGGATCATTTTCCGCTGTGCAGAGCGTGGGGGGGCGGGCGTTGCCTGGCCCCCCCACGAGGCAAAACTAGATCTCTGGATCAGAATTCGAGCTACAGCACCCAGTCGCGGCGCTCAGGTCACGGTCGCGCGGGCGGCCTCTCATCTGGAGGACGAGGCAGGTGGAATCCAGACGGCCCTCCAGCTTCTTCGGTCTTGCGGCAATGCCTCGGCCGATGCGTTGGCGTCGCAAGCTGCTGATCGAGGTTGGGCGCTTGCCGCCGCCAAATGTCCTGCCCCCCGCACCGACGAGGTGGACTTAACGGTTCGGCTGGTTCGCAGGCGCGCGCGTAGAGCGCTGCAAGACACCGCTGCTGTGGATCCGTGGAAAGGTGAGTGGATCGCCCCCTCTGCCCCTCGCCTCCTCGTCCGAATCGAGCTCTCGCGGCCTCGATTCACGCGTTCGTCCGACTTGTCGGAGGCAGGTAGAGATGCAAGGTCTGCGGCGACCTCTCGACCAGCACGGCGCTGGAGCACGCCCGCGCCCGACCTTGCTGCCCCCCCCTTTTCTGCCCTGGCGGCCACGACCCCGAACGTGGCGGAGGCCTCTATCCAACGTCTGACGGGGGAGCTGTGGGCTGGCAAGCGGAAAGTTGACCCCGGCCATCAGGTGTGGAAGTGGAGGGATGAGAATGTGTTGGTTTGTCTAGTTTGTGGGTTCGGTGCCAGTATAGATGGCAAGCATCTAGAGAAAGCATGCCCTCCGAGTCGGTCTAAGAAGGGCCAACAGAGCCTCGCTCGCATTTCTAAAGGGCGGCACCCTTGCCGCCAGGGTGCTTCAGAGGCGACGAGGAGGGCACTTTAATCATTGTATGCTGCGAGGTCGGCGGCTTTCTTTGTTGGGACGGGGTCCCCACCGGTTACTCTTGATTGCTCCTCCTCCTGTTGGGGATCTGGTCGACTCAGCCGTTTGCCGCTCCGACTCCTCCTCCTCCTCCTCCTCCTTTTCTTCCTGTTCCTCTTCCTCCTCCTCCTCCTCCTCCTCCTCCTCCTCCTCCTCCTCCTCCTCCTCCACCGCATCCGCCTCCTCCTCCGCATTTTTCTCCTCATCCTCCTCCTCCTCCTCCTCCTCCTCCTCCTCCTCCTTTTCCTCCTCCTCTTCCTCCTCCTCCTCCTCCATCCTGCTTCCTCCCGCGTGCATTTGGTCTCGAGGGTGATCCTGGGCCTGGTGAGTGCCACCCCCGCTCCGCGTCGAACCTCGTTCCGCTGGACCGTCCGTCGGCAGGGCAGCACGAGCGGTCGATGTGTCCGCGCCTGTTGGGGTTCCTAGGACTCCTCCCAGTCGCCCTACCCGCGCCACCGCAAGAGCCGCCCAATACGCAGTCCAGTCCTAATTACCCTCCCTGCCCCCCCCGTCGTTCGTTGCTGGAAGTGCCCAGGGCAACAGGTGCTCCCAGGATTTCCAAGGGTGTCCCCACATAGCCCCTCACGAGCCCTTCACGAGGCCCTCAGGGCCCCAGGGGGCTCCACTGTGGAGCAGCCGGGGCATTTGGGGCCAGGGGCGCCCACCTTTCGCAGCCCCCGCCCCCCCCCTTTTGCCCGCCCGCCCACCCGCTCCCCTTCGCCGCCCGGGGCGACGGCGAACGCGGCCGCGCCCCCCCCCGCTGAGGCCGCCTTGGCCCCCGTGCCACTCCTCCTCTTCCTCCTCCTCCTCCTCCTCCTCCTCTTCCTCCTCCTCCTCTTTTTCCTCCTCCTCCTCTTCCTCCTCCTCCTTCTCCTCCTCCTCCTACTGTTCCAGCCTTGTGTCTTCGCTGTCAGAGCGAGGAAGAGTCTCTCTATCATCGAGTGTGGTCCTGCCCCGCCAATCGTAATCACGAGGACTACGACAAAACGCAGATGTTGCTCCCACAGGCGCAGAGCCAGTGGGAGAGTGACCCGTCCCTTTGGTTGCGCGGAGTGCCTGGCCGCAACCTCACCACCCCGACTTTCCTCGACCCTCTTGTGGCCCCCCTCCTAGCTACCACGGCGATGCCGACCTCAAAGTTTTTTGTGTGCTTCCTGGGCAGGAGCTCTTGTATGGTTTTGGTGACGGCTCTGGGGGCCCATTTTCGTCGGACCCAAGGCGTAGGAGATGTGGGTCCGCGATAGCCGTTCTCCAGGGGTGCGAAGGGGCCTGGGAACCAGCTGCTGGAGTTTCGGCCCCGCTTCTCGGACGGCGCCAAGCGGTGCCGAGAGCGGAGATAGCCGCGCTTGGAAGAAACGGTGGGGCCCATAGTCTATGCCACTGATTGCCAGCCAGTCCTAGACGGATGGAGAGCTGGCAGAGCGCATGGGGAAAAAGGACCCAACCAGGAATTGTGGTACAGAGTGGCAGCTGCGCTGAAGCATCGAGGTGAGGGTGACGTGCGCCTCCGCTGGACTGCTGCGCATCTGGAGGACGAGAATGTAGCCCGCACCTCGATTCAGTTGTTTTCTTCACCTGTGGCAATATGTGCGCGGATCATTGGGCGGGTGAGACGGCGGAGCGGGGATGGGATTCGTTTGTCCAGCGGCCGATCCCTCACACCGACCAAGTTGATTGCATAGCAGCCCTGGTCAGGAAGAGGGCCCGCAGAGCACTCATTGACTCCTTGGCAGCTGACCCCTGGCAGGCAGAGAAGGCAAAGCACGCTCGAAGCCATTGAATAAAGTAGAGAGAGAGAGAGAGAGAGAGAGAGAGAGAGAGAGAGAGAGCGCTGGCGGCCACGTCGCATCGAGTCGAGAAGTGTAGTGGGCAGTACAGATGTTCGGTTTGCGAGCAGCTTGTACCAGCGGCCCACGTTATTTCTTTCGCTGCCACTCAGTGCCCTGGACCCAGAGAGAGAGTCGGGTGGACTCGGTTTCGGTCGGTCGTCGAAAGGCAGGTCCAGATTGGCACGAAGGCCAGCCACGTTTCACACACCTTGATGTGTTGGGAAGATTATAATTTGTTTTTTCCGTCGAGCGTGCGGATGCACGGCCACTGTTGACGGTCGATGGCTTTCCCTTCCTTGCCACCCCCCCCCCACCACCACCAGGAAAGGGGTACATAACCTCTCGAGGCTTGAGAAGGGGCTTTACCCATCCAGGCTGGTCCCTGCTGCGGCCACGGCTGCAGCTAATCAGAGATTGGTGGAGAGGGTGGGGAAGGAGGCTGCTGGGAGAGCGGCAGAGAGTGACAGCGCCGCCTCTCTGCCGCCCCCGCCGCCCCCGACTCGGAGCTCCCGACTCGGAGCCCGACGTGCAGGCGCCGCCCCGCCTCCCGCTTTGAGGCGGACTCGGGCTCGTCGGACTGACGGGGGGACGGCCACTTTGTGGCTTCATCCGATATTCCTGATTTTCCTCCTCCTCCTCCCCCTCCTCCTCCTCCTCCTCCTCCTCCTCCTCCTCCTCCTCCTCCTCCTATTCCTCCTACTCCTTCTCCTACTCGTACTCCTACGCCTACTCCTCCCGTTGTTTCATCATCCTCTTGACTCCTCCTCCTCCGCCTCCTCCTCATCATCATCATCCTCATCATCATCATCATCATCATCATCATCATCATCATCATCATCCTCTTGTTGCATCATCCTCTTGGTTCCCCCTCCTCCTCCGCCTCCTCCTCCTCCTCCTGCCCCCCTCCTCCGCCTCCCCCTCCTCCTCTCTTCCGCCTCCTCCTCCTCTTCTCCCCCTCCTCTTCCTCCTCCTCCTCCTCCTCCTTGTTTCATCATCCTGTTGACCTCCTTCTCCTCCTGCTCCTTCTCCTCCTTCTCCTCCTCCTCCTCCACATCCTCCTCTTGTTTCATCATCCTCTTCGCGTCTCCTCCTCCTTCTCCTCCTCCCCCCCTCCCCCCCACCATCCTCCTCCTACCGCCCCCCCCCCCCCCGCTGAGGCGGCATTGGCCTCCTTGCCACACTTCCCCAGCCTCGCCGCCGACGGCGGCGGCGAGGCCGAGGGCGGAGGCGGCGCGGGGGGCGGCGGCGAGGCGCCGCCAGAGGGCGGCGGGGCCGCGAGGGTCACGCTGACGTGACTCGCGCGGCGCGCCGCTCGGGGAGGCGGCGAGGGAGGGCAGAGAGAGAGAGAGAGCGGGAAGGACAGGGAGAGGGAGAGAGGGCGAGAGGGAAAGGGAAAGGAGAGGGAGGGAAAGAGATGGAGAGAGAGAGAGAGGCAGATAAGTGCGAAGAGAGAGAGAGAGAGAGAGAGAGAGAGAGAGACCGATGGGGGAGCGAGGCAGAAAGAGAGAGCGAGAGAGAGAGAGAGAGACAGAGAGACAGAGCGCACTGGCTCGAACAGAAGCAGGCCCGCAGGATGCAGGCTTCCGCCTGGCCAACCCCGAAAGGCGGGAGGTGCCGTTTGTGAGAGGCAGGGGTGGGGTGAGTACCGTCCCCGCGCGCTGGGCAGCAAGGTATGCTTGGAAGTTTCCTTGGGGGGGCGCCCCAACGGGAGCAGCAGGTCGGATTGTCTGCTGGAGGTTGCCCCATGCGTCCGGTTGAATGTGTCTAGCAGCGCGGCAAATTGTTTTAGCGCGTGCTGAAGAGATTTGGTTCGGTGATCTGGCCGCGTCTAAGGTTCGCTGGTGCTAACGATGAGGACCGTTTCGCGGTCACCCTGTGGCGGTCGTCTGGTCGTTGAGACGTTTTGCGTAAGGGATTGCCTTCGGTCCGTTCGCTGGGTCCCCATCCCACCAGGGCCCGTTCCGTCTTCGGTCACCCTCCGTTCACTGCTCCCCGCACCTTGGTGGGAGGAGGAGGTGGCCTGGTGGCGAAGGAGACTGGCAGTGGGGGCCTGCTCCTGTTGACCGCGGGCGGGTTGCACCTGACCGTTGGATGTCTTGGTTAGCACGCGTCGCGGTGATCGTGGTGATCGCTGTGCCCATGTGTGTTGCGACTTTCAGGGGGAAGGCTCTTCTTCCATGCCTACAGCGGGCCCCACGCGGAGATGGGCAGGGGTGGCGGGGAGGGGTAGCGGAGAAAATGGTGAAAGGGGGAACGGAGCAGGGCGGTAGGACGAGAAGACGTTAAGATGAGCGACGTACGCCGTGATGTTCAAGAAGATTCGGAGGTTGATAGACCTCCTACCCTGACACGTCGATTAGCGAATTGGCCGTTTTCGGTTCGCGAGAGGGCGTCGCGGTCGTCATCTTTGCGGGTCCAGGTCCGCTGGTTTCGGTCCTAGGCCGTTTTCGCCAAAGGGTGGTTTACTAAAGGGAGGTTTGTCCACCGCCGAAAGATAGTGAGAATCGCCTTGCCAGTTCGTCATCTGTTTGAGGACAAGGCATGTGATAGGTCTTGCGCGGCCTGTCGTCCCCTCGAGTTCCAAAGGGAGACGAGAAAGGGATGATGACGTTATCGGGTTTGTCCCCCTAGAGGGGAACCATTCAAAAATGGTTAAACAATAGTCTGGGGACGATGTTTGACAATTTGTGACTATGGTTAGGGTATTTTGGGGGTCATTTGTATTTTTCGTCCAAAATCCGCCTGTAGGGGGAAACGCCCGACATAAGGATGACGTAGAAAGGGGGATGGGAATCGGAGCAAGGCCAGGGGGGCGCCGATCTTCTATCCAGAACGTCCCTTGCCAGGTTGAGCTGTGGCGAGTCGACGTAATCGTACTCCAAGTCGCGAGCTGGCAAATGTGCCGCCTCACGATCCACATCGTCCTCCTTGTTGTTTTTTGTCAAGTCCCATAAGAGCAGGCAAGTGTTTTTTGTCAGACAAGTGTTTTTTTCCTGTACAGTGAATTCGCCCTGCGGCTACCGCAACAACATGTATCTGGCCGACGGTCGGCCTGCTGTGCATGCTGATAAGTGATGTCGGACGGGCTGCGATGCGCCATACCGCCGGCCCCCAGGTATGAGGGGAAATGTGCAGGAGGGCGGGGGAGAGGGAGGAGGGAGAAGACGAGGCGAAGGACGAGGAGGAGGGCGAACAAGAGGTGACAGGAAATGGAGGAGCATGAGGATGTGGAGAAGGAGGAGGAGGACTGAGAGGAGGAGGAGGACTGAGAAAAGGAGGAGGAGGAGCGAGGAGAGGATTCACACTAATACTGCAACCTGGAAGGGCATGCAACATGAAAGTAATACAACAAATTCTATACATAATATATAAATATATATATATATATATATATACATAGAAATGGGAAGAGGAGGACGAGAACGAGGAGTAAGAGTGCGAGAGGGGGAGGAGAGGGGAGGAGCACACATACTGCTAGAATAGACTCGCCGTGTTGCAACGCAGCGCGGCGGCAAACCTTCCGTATATCAGTCTGTTCGCCACGTGGCAGCGGTCGGGGGCGGAGAAAACACATAGGGTTCCATGTTACTCGTTGCGTGGCAACGCTTGGGAGGCGAAACGGAATACGTTCCCATCTCTCCGAAGGATGGACAAACGAACCAACGAGCTACCACACTCCGTTCGCTACCTGGGGGACGCTGCAACAGAACGGGAGCAACGCATACGATTCCGTTCGCCATGTTGCAACGCAGCGGGCCGGAACTAGATTCGCCACGCGGCAACGCTTGAGGGGCGCAGCATCGCAGCGGGGCGGAGAACGCACAAAACTAATGAACTCGCCAAGTGACAACGCAGCGAGGCGGAAAAAGCACCGTCCGTTCTACTCGTCACGTGGCAAGGCCTTGGGGGGGGGGGGGCGAAACGGATGCTATTCCATGCTGTTCGCCACGTGGCAACGCAGCTGGGCGAGCAATCTCCTATTCGACTCTACTCGGCACGTGGCAACTCCTCTGGGGCGGGAAAAATCGCAGGCCTAGAGGTTGACACCAACACCAATATCGGCGGTGTGCCTCCACCGGAGGAAGAAGATCCCGATCTCGGTGATGGTGGTAATATTCGGGCTGCAGAGGCGACCGCAGTATTACCACCAGCACCGAAGTCCAGGATCATATTCCGCCTGTGGAGGCAGCCCCCTGTGTTGGTGTTGGTGCCCATTTTCAGTCGGAGGTGGAACGTCGATTGGTGAATTGGCCGTTTTCGGTTCGCGAGGGGGCGTCGCGGTCGTCATTTTTGCGGTTCAAGGTCCGTCGGTTTCGGTCTTGGGCCGTTTTCCCTGAAGGGAGGCTCACTAAAGGGAGGTTTGTCCACCGCCGAAAGATAGTGGGAATCGCTTTGACGGTTCGTCAACTGTTTGAGGACAAGGCATGTGATAGGTCCTGCGCGGCCTGTCGTCCCCTCGAGTTCCAAAGGGAGACGAGAAAGGGATGACGTTATCGGGCTTGTCCCCCTAGAGGGGAAATATTCAAAAATGGTCAAAAAATAGTCTGACAACTCGTACAAAGAATGGCAGTCCAAAAATGGCCTCCAAAAGAATGCCAGTCCACCTCAACTCGTCACGTGGCAAGGCCTGAGGGGCGACGGCGGCCAGCGGGCGGCAGCCGGGAGGCGGCGGCAGGCCGGCAGCGGGCGGCCGATGCAGGGGCTATCAGAGTTGGCGTCAAGTGGCACAGAGTGGCACACATACACACACACACACAGAGACAGAGACACACAGACACACAGACACACACACACACACACACACACACACACACACACGCACACACGCACACGCACGCACACGCACACACGCACACACACACACACACACACACACACACACGCACACGCACACGCACACACACACACACACACACACGCACGCACGCACGCACACACACACACACACACACGCGCACACACACACACACACACACACACGCACACACACACACACACACGCGCACACACACACACACACACACACACACGCACGCAGCACGCACGCACGCACACACACACACACACACACACACACAACACGCACACACACACACACGAACGCACACACACACACACACACACACACACACGCACACACGCACAGCACACGCACGCACACACGCACACACACACACACACGAACGCACACACACACGCACACACGAACGCACACACACACACACACACACACACACGCACACACACACACACACGCACACACACACACACACACACACACACACACACACACACACACACACACACACACACGCACGCACACACACACAGACACACACACACACACACACACACACACGCGCACACACGCACGCACACACACACGCACGCACGCACGCACGCACACATCGCGCCTCGGGGGCCCGAGACAGTCTGTTTGAACCCCCAGCCAGCGGCGGACGCCCGGGGCCTTCAGCCCGCGTCCACGGGCCATTCTTCGTGCACGCCTCGCACGGATCGTGCCAAAGGGTGCGGGAGCCCTCAGAAGATTTGATGTACCGTATCCGAAAACATGCTTGATTTGTCGGTTAGAAAAAAATGGGAGTGATCCCCCATCTCCCTTCTCCTGCATTTCCTCCCGCCTCTGCCTGTCAGAGGCGGGGCTGGTCGTGGAGGGGCGGCTGCATGTGGCGATCGAGGCGCACGCGATTGCAGGAGCGCGCGCGGCAGCAGTGCACCCAGAGGGCCCTCAGGCTCCAAGGCGGAAGCCTCCGCCCTGCAGATTGGAGCACACACGATGATGCAGCTCAATCATCTGGAGAGGAGGTGAAGCATGGTGAAAGCCTCTCGAAGGGCAGGAGCAATCACTGCCTCTAGGGTTGCGGTGTCCCCGACGTGACGCGTTGGCCAGGCCAGCCCGTCCTCGCTGCTGCTGCAGCGTCTGCGTGCAGCAGAAAAGGCTGCGCGGCATGCTACCGCAGCTCGCCTCCGACGCTCCGCGCAACCCAGCTGTCTGATCGCTGCAAGAGGATGAAGACGTAGAGTAGGAACGTTCAGAGGATGGCGAGTTGACACGGTAGATGGCCTTCGGAAGCACCGATGGCAGTTCGGACAACCGATTTTGAGATGGTGTTGCCTCAATTCGCCTTGCTCGGAGACGTGCATCAAGAATCCAGATGCTTCTGGTCAGGGTGCCCTGGGCTTCTTCGTTGCTCGCATTGCGCAGCGACTTCTCGCGGGCGTTTGAGAAACTGCTGCAATCGGGGGCCCTTGGGCTTCTCCCCAACGACACCTC